GGGGTGGGCCGATATCAATTACCTTTACACAAGATCTTTCGATAGTAAAAATGTTGAGATGTATGAAAATTGAAGAGAGTAGGAGGCCTATTTCGCATTTTATGATCATTTTGGTTTTTTACAATTTTAAACCCTTTGTGGGGAGGTACCAAAATCAGTTCTCCGATATATCCCATCTTCACACTTATTCCCATCTTCATGGTTATTCAAAATGTTGAACGTTTGTGAGGGAGGTAAGAAAAGGTGGTCCATTCTATCTGTTCTTTATACCAGATCTTGTGTTTGTTGAAATATTTAGATGTGCGAAATTTATGAGTTATAATTATTAAAAATTTTGACCCTTCATGGGGGAGGTACTTGATGGAGTGGCACTGATATAAACTCTAATATTTGCAACGTTCGCATAAAATTACATTATCCAGTCTTGGTCAATAAGATAAATTATTTTCTGTAAAAATAGTTATCTTTTAAAGCTATATTTCTCAGCTCTGAATTCGTTCTAAGTTTAAACCAAATCGAATAATTCTTTCGAGAAGTATCTTGCGCACCTGCCAGCCAGACAGATAGACGGACAAACATCGCTAATTCGACTCCAAATGTCCTAAAATGAATTTGGTCCAAACAGACCAAATGATATATATCCATTATAGCCATATGGCTGAAGATATAAAAAAGTGGCTGGGAAAAAAACATCTGCCATTTTGTCAAAAATGCTTAAAAATTCGTGCTCGATGCTCCTTAGGTCCTCAAAAAACAAGCTTGGTCCTTGCAAAAATATCCATAAAAATGCACGATTGATTCTAAACAAATGCACGTTTGGTCCTGGAAAAACATTCACGTTTGGTCCTGGAAAAACATTCACGTTTGGTCCTAAATAAATCCACGTTTGCTCCTTAAACATATTCTTAACAAATCCACCTTTGGTCCTGGAAAAAAATTCACGTTTGCTCCTAAAAAAGTCACGTTTGGTCTTAAAAGATCCACGTTTGGACCTTGAAAATAATGACGTTTGATCATTAATAAAGTATCCCTAAAAATACACATTTAGTCCTTGAAAAAAATTCACATGTGGTTCTCAAAAAATCCATGTTTGGCCTTTGAAAAAATCTACGCCTGAGAAAACTATACTTAAAAATCTACTTTTGCTCTTTAAAAAATACCCCTTAAATTCACATTTGTTCCTTGACAATTTTGTTACTTAAAAGCTCCATCTTGATCCTTAAAAAATCCAAGTTAGGTCCATGACAAAATGTCTTTAACAGATCTATGTTTAGTCCTTGACAATTTTGTTCCTTAAAAACTCCATGTTGATCCTTAAAAAAACCAAATTTGGTCCTTGAAAAAATATCTTTAACAAATCTATGTTTGGTCCTTGCACAAATATATTTAAAAAATCCAAGTTTGATGCTTTCAAAAAGTGTCCTTACCAAATCTACGTTTGGTCCTTGAACAAATATTTTTAAAAAATCCGCGTTTAGTTCTTGAAAATAATCACGTTTTGTGCTTTAAAATATCCTTAAAAATCCACGTTTTGTCCTTAACAAAATACGTTTTGCCCCTAGAAAATATCCTTGAAAAATTCACGTTTGGTCCTTGAAGAAAAAAAAAACTTAAAAAATCCATGTTTGGTCCTTGAAAAAATCACGTCATGAAAATTCCTCGTTTGATCTTAAAAAAAAAATACCCTTAAAAATCCAAGTTTGATCCTTGATTAAATCTACGTTTGGTCCTTGAACCAATATCCCTAAAAAATCAAGGTTTGGTTTTGATAAACTCAAGGTTTGGGCCCTTGAAAAGTCCGAGTTTGGCCCACTAAAAGTATTATTTAAAAACATGCGTTTAGTCCTTGAAAAAAAAAATAACAAAATCCACGTTTATTGGTCCATTGGTTATTAAAAAAAAACTTACAAAATCCACGTTTTTTAGTCTAATGGTCCTTAAAAAAACTAACAAAATTCATGGCAAATAAAAAAATATCTCAAAAAAAAATCCACCTTTGGTAGTCTAATACAGAATGAGATGAAAAAACTGCAACCAACTTCAGACTGCTGTCATTTCCAAGCACTGAAACAGAAAGAAAATAGACTCAAAAGAGCTAAAGAGTTGCTTCACTTGGCCGAAAGTGGTGAACTGCCGAATTTTGTTTTCTCCGATGAGAAAACATTCGTTGTCCAGCAGTTTGTAAATAAAGAAGAACAAAATGACCGTGTTTACTTGCCAAAGAGGTCAGCTGAAAATGTGGCCACCAGAACTCAAGCGCCGGCCGTGGTGATGGTGTGCATCGCCATAACAGCTGATGGTCGCTCTCCGTTCGTATTAATCGACCGTGGCATCAGAATAAATGCCGAATATTATCGCGAAAATGTTTAATACACCCATGCCTCGGGCACGCTAATATTTTGGCAACAGACCTTGGACCAGGACTCAGCTCCATCGCACTCAGCACGCGTCTCTCAAGAATAGTTACAAAATGAGATTCCTCGCTTCATTTCCAGCGCATAATGGTCACCAAAATCTCCGGATACTAATCCGTTGGACCTTTGTGTGTGGAGTATTTCGGAAAGCAAGGTTGGCACTAAAAATTACCAAAGTGTCGATCACCTCAAGCAAGCGCTTCGCCGGGAATGGACCAAAATACCGCAGACCAACCTAAGGGCAGTGTGACGGTTTCATTGGCCGTTTAAAGGCCATAATTCGAGCCAATCTAAACTTATTCTAAAATTTTGATGCTATTTCCGACATTGTTTGCTTTCATTCAATAACAATTAAAAATTATGGGGTTTGTTGCAGTTTTTTATCTCACCCTGTAATTCTTGCAAATTAAAAAGTTTTTAAAAATCAAAATTTGCCTGGTGGCCCTTGTGGGAAAATTTTTAAAAAAAATTCAAGTTTTTTAAAAAATTAACCATTAGTTCCTGAAAAAATTATTCGTTTAAGCCCACATTAGATCCTTGAAAAAACGTTCATAAATTTATACAACATCTACGTTTTTGGTCCTTGAATAAAATTCTAAAAAAATCGATTTTTTGGTCTATTTTTGGAAAATTATACCTTGAAAACATTTTGTAGGATATTCCATTTTTTTAAATATTGGTCCAAAAAATCCTCTTCTGTTGGTCTTTTATACCGTCGCATTGATTCCTTCAATTGATTTACTGTACCTTAGAAAAAATTTCTAAAAACCCAGATATATTGGATTATGGGAATACATTTGATGGTTTGAACAAATTCGATTCAAGAAATCCACTCGTGTTGATCTATGTGTGCTCGAAGAACATGTTTGGTCCTAAAAAACATTTTTTATTCATAAAACTCATGTGTTTTAAAATTTCTTTAAAATGCTTCTTAAAGAAGATCTTTTAAGCACTAATAAACCAACACATTAAAATTTTAGGATATTTTAAAGGAGCAATTGACCAACGAAAACTGATTTTCAACAAATTTAAACAACAATATATTTACATTTTTTTTCGAGGTTCAATTAACTAAACACATGGATTTTTTTTCGTTCGAAGAGCCAATGTCTGGATTGGTGATTTTAAAGAATTTTTATCAACGGCTAATATACGCCGACGTTGTTGAAAATCAGCCTTCGTTGGTCCTTGAAAAAATATCCTAAAATCTGTATGTGTTGGTTTATTAGTGCTTAAAGATCATAGGTCCCTGAGAAAATATTCTTAAAAAAATTCACAATAAAGTTTTGCTAATTCTTGTGAAAAATCGCATTAATAATATTTACTTAATTTTTTTCACTTTGAGCCCACTGTCCCCCATAAAACAATTCCTAGTATTCATGGGGCCATCGTAAAAAAACTTAAATCATTGTTACCGGGCAAAGGGGGAAATCTGATATGGAGTTGTCCCATGATGTCATCTTCATCGTCGCCGTCGTCGTCATCACCATCATCATCTTATGCATCATCAAACAACTCACAAGATACAAGTGGCGTGGGGGGGAGGACGACGACAGACAAAGAAATTATTGAATCTCACATTGTTTGTTGGAAAGTGGTTGAGGGGGCAAGAAATGGTGGGTGGGTTGGTTTATGGTCGCCTGAGTAATACTACGCGCCGCATTCAAACCTAGCAGGCAGGCAGTAGATGTTGTGGTGAATGGCTTTTGAATGAAAATCAGTTTCATTTTGCAATTGTTGTTGTTGTTATTGTTTGGATTTTTATTCATTTTTTTTTCTACGTCTGTCATTCACATTCTCAGTTAAACAATAAAGGCGCGTTTAGTGTTTGATAGTGTAGTTGGAGAACACTGTAACGTTTGGGGGACAGTCAGTCAATCAGTCCATCAGCATCACCATTGCCATCCATTGTTGCCATTTACAAGTGCTTCCATAGAACAACAAAAAAATACAAAAAAACAAAAACAACAAAGCACAAAAAGCCTCCTCCAGCAGTTTATATTGAATGGAAGATGAGATTGTTTTGGTAACACTAAGTGACAAACACACACACAGAGAGCTGGCCAGCAGCAAGTGGTGGACAGACATCAATTGGCCAACATCAATTAACACAAAATCTAGGTCTGCTGCCTAGATGAGAAACAAAAACAACAACCACGATGGCAGTTCGACATTTAAATTTACATCGATAGTTATCCCCATTTCCCCGCCTACCTCACGCCCTTCCTCCTTAACATTGCCATTAAATCGAGATTCGGTGTTCGACAAACCCACTGACATTGTTGCTCCTTTTTTTGTTGTCATTGTGTTTTTTCACTGCCTCCCTGTCTCTCTCTCTCTCCTGGTCTTTGCCATTTTTTTAATTATCAATTTTAATTAATCTTTTTTCTCTGTTGTCGCCGTTATTGGATGCTGGCTGAGCTGTTGTGTTACAATATAATTTTAATATGTCCGCCCTGCTACTTTCTTCCCTCCCTCTCTCCTATTGCCAGGACTTTTACTATTTTCTCATTCAATTTATATTCACAGTTGTTGTTATTTTCATTGCCTCTTTCTCACTATTTTGTTTTATTTGGTCATTTGCAGTTCTTTAACGACAGCAACATAACACTACTGAATCGAAGAACGGTATGGTGAAAATGGAATCCACAGAAGAACAGGACAGAAAGTTGGTTTTGGAGTTTATACATTTGCTGGAGAAGTCCAAACAGTTGTTCAATGGTTTAAGGTGAGTCAGCATTTTTTTTTTTTTTTTTTTTTTTTTGGATTTTTTATTTACACTTTTTTGGTGTTGTTTTGAAAAATGAAAGTTAAACATTTGGAATCAAGAAAGAAAATGGCTCAATGGCCCTCTCCTGTGTAATTCGAATATTTGAAAAAGTGTCATTTTTATAAAAAATTAATACCGATTTCGGAAATAAAAAACACGCCAATATTTTTACACCTTCAACAATATGGCTACAGAGAGTATATATAAACGTGCCTCATCGAAACAATGGTTTAGACCCTAGGTCTCTTTGGACGAAATCCGATTCAGAGGCAGAGATGTTCGTCCATCTAATTGTCTACCTGGCTGCTGTACACGAAAACTCTCGAAAGGTGTATCAGATTTAGTCCAAACTTACTACATCGTAATATTCTTATCAAACTTAGATCGAGTTCGTAGGTGGGGAATATTCGTCCACTCTTTCTGGTATCTCCCCCACAAAAGATCGAAATTTTCACAAAAAAAATTTTACTGCACAGAAGGAGAAAGAATAATCCGATTTTGCTCCAACTTTGCAAATTCTAATATTTGAATCAGTGCGAAAATGGACAATATTGATCAACTCCATCCTCCTCACATCCCCACAAAGGGTCAACATTTTTAAAAGATGTCTAACTCTAGTAAAATGTGATGTGAGAGTCCGATTGTCTTCAATTTACACACATTACAATATTTTTATTAACACAAAGTCTGGTGTGAGGGTAGATAATATCAGTCAAAATTTTGAATATTCATGAAGTTTATAAAACGCGAAATTAACATTCGATTTCAATCAGACTTGGCATATATCAATATTTCTATAAACACAAGATCTGTTATAAAGATGCCAGAGATCGGACCATTCGCTTTGTTACCTTACAAAGGGTCAAAGTTTTGAATTACAAAAACGATCATAAAATCCGAAATAAGCATCCGGTTCTCTTCATATTTCACACATTCCATTATTTCTACTAACAGAAGATCTACTGTTAAGATGGTTAAGATTTTTCGGTCCACTCCTTCTAGTATCACCCCCACAAAGGGTCAAAGGGTCATCAACACAAGATTTGTTTGTGGTAGAGATCAGACAATTTCTTTCGGTACTATGAATGCTACCAATATTCAGATTATGGAACAGTAAACTAAAGCTCATGTAGGAACATAATTTCCTTTTTGGAAGGGACTATATTTATTGGTATATTCACTTATTATCTTGCAGGTGGGACTTACGGTGCTAAACCTTAAAAATATAGTTACACGCTACTTATAACTAGCAAAATCGCTATGTTCTAGCCATCAGTTCCGTCATTTCTAATGGAAAAGTCAATGTTTTTCCATTTGGCTGGACGAAATGCTAAACCAGACGGGAAAAGCGTATGCAACAAAATTAACTCGCTTCATATCTTTATCAGCCCTTTGGTAGCTTAAAAAATCCTTCTTATCCCTGACCAGAATAAAGTCTATATATCCTTTGAAGTCAAAATTCTTATTATTCTTAGATTTGTTTCAATGTTATGTTGCAAAACTTTTCAATCACTGAATTCTTAAATTCGTCAGATCTGTATAAGATCTTCAGCGCTTCTAAATACAGACCGCTCTCAATCCATTCTCCACCCGTCCTATCATAGATTGGCCTTTTTGAATGTCATCTAAAAATGCCTTAATGACTAAATATTAGTCGTCTCAAGCCTAAGCATTAAACCTAGACATCCAATGCCTTTATATCTGGCTGGACAACATGCCAAACCAGACGGGGAAAAGCGTAGGCAACAATATGCCGCATTACCTCACCTCGCATTTCATCTGCCATTGGTAGTTAAAGAAGACCTTCTTATCTCTGGCCAGAATAAATTGTATATTCCCTTTGAAGTCAAAATTCTTATGAAATATAATCCCAAGGTATTTTATCCAGCCCAGCTACTCCACGATATTTAGACCAATTTGCAGCACCAGACGGTACGTCACAAAACTTGTCAATCATTGAGTTCTTAAATTTATCAGACCTGTCTACGAATTTCGGTGTTTCTGAGTTCAAGACCTTGTCAATTCTTTCCCCATTTGCCCCATCTAAGATAGTCACATTTGAATGCCATCTGATACATCTCATCTATAAACATGAAGCCAGCACACTACGTTCCTACTTCCTAAGCCTTTCCACCTCGCTTTATTTGCCGATATAAAATCAACCTTAGGGAGTTAGTCCGCTTCGCTTCTTCATCTGTCTTTGTTTTGACTCTGGCCCGAATAAAGTCAATATGATCTTTGAAGTGAAGATTCTTATGAAATATGACCATAAAGTATTTTATCCTGCCTTGCTTTTCCACGACATTTCGATAAAATTTGCCAGATTGGACGACGGGTCGCAATACTTAGAAGAATATATTCTGTTTCCCGGAAAATATAACTTCCAAACTTTTTTCACAATTTTGCTTGGTTCCCTAAGTTTATCCTGCCTTGCTTTTCCACGACATTTCGATCAATTTGCCAGATTGGACGACGGGTCGCAATACTTAGAAGAATATATCCTGTTTTCCCGGAAAACATAACTTCCAAACTTTTTTCACAATTTAGCTTGGTTCCCTAAGTTTATGTTAAAGATGCGAACCGCAGTTCCTGTGGGAACAGTAAGTCCGATGAGAGCCCTAAACCCAGAAATCTTTGGATCAACTTATATGGGAACAGCTAACTGAAGCATCGTTGCAAACAGTGAATAAAAGTTTATGTGTGATACCAATGTCCCTACGAGAACTGCGTGGCCACAATCCCGTGGAAACGAAACCCCCAAATTCTTATGAAAACAAATAACCTATGCTTCTGTGGGATCATCGAGCTAAAGATCCTGTAGAAACAACTAATCGAAGCTTCTGTAGGAAACACTAGTCGAACCTCCTATGGGAACAGCGAACAGAAAATGCTATGAAATATGGAGCGAATCTGAACTCCTGCGAGTACGTAATTATGTGGGTTAAGGAAACAAATTTCTTGTGGCAGCAATGAACCGAAACTCTTATGGGAAAACGACCCAAAGTTTCTATTACAAAACAATTCCGTGCAGTCAACTCAAGAAAGATAATATTTGGTCTCCGGAAAAAATATTTATAAAAAGTGGTTTTATGTAGAAATATTACCGGCTCGGAAGCAACCACATCTATTCGCAAATTTGGACATACACAAAGAAAGAGAGAGAGTGGTTAATGGCGTCACAATGAAAACTATAAAGCTAAGACTGATATATAACGGAAGAAGATGCGAAAGGAAATAAGGAAGAAAGGAGATTGTGGAGAGACATTTAATCAACCATTTGGATAAAAACAAAACCCAAAACTAGGGAATTTTCATAGTTAGGCTAAATCAACCGATCTAGGGGTCCTCATGCCCGCGAAACTAGAAGAGTTGCCGTGGACGTAGCTTTCTTACTGCGAGGAGCGAGGCCTATTCAGCTCTTCCCCTCTGAACGGCAACCGATTAGGTTTGAAAGTGCCCCGAACAAGATCTGAAGGATCTGTGATGTTGGGGCAATAAAGTTGAGATTCCCTGTGAGTCCCCGCCACCTGTGGTACCAAAAATACCTTTGGTCAGATCTGGTAACTGAGCTACTTCCAATTGGGGCTGTTATACACGCCTAGGCTGAACAAGCGGGCTTAGAGGCCCCAAACCACACACTCATTTCACATTCATACTCATACACACAGAGCAGAAACATTCGTACAACTCAGTAAACACCATTCACACTGGTGCCCGATGATGGGAGAAAATTCGAAAGTTGTAGCAAACACCCAAGGCTAGCACTCGTAGAGCACTTGGAAAGAATACTATTAACAACATTAGAGGGTATGGGGTAGACAGTTATACTTGACCTTATTCCAACCAACTGCATAAGGGTTTAGCTGGTCCTTTTGAAGAGCCTGGATGCTCCTTAACTTAGCTGACTACAATTGAGAAGTATTCAGACTACAGAACACCATTCTGGGAAACAAAACAGAATGTCTTCTTAATGTATCTGTGGATCATTCTTTGGGAATATTTTCCTAGGAACTTGATATTTTGATGATTCTGATCAGAAACGTTGGCGAGACTAAATAATTCACTCAATCGAATTGAGCTCACAAACGAACTAGGAGCTATACAACCCTAAGCAATAAGACATAAATCTAGAAAATTTTTAAGAATAGGTTTTGGGAAGAATATATAATAGTAATCAATTCGCACTCCATTATCTGACAAAGAAATTTATTGAAATGTTTTCCTTTTCCCTACTTTCAGAGATTTACCACAATATGGACATCGTCAGTGGCAGGCATATTTTGGACGAACATTCGATGTCTACACAAAACTATGGAAATTCCAGCAACAGCATCGCATGGTACTGGATTCGAAATATGGTTTGAAACGGTGGCAAATTGGTGAAATTGCAAGTAAAATTGGACAGCTTTACTATCATTACTAGTGAGTGAAGCCCCCACCTCTACAAAAACAAAAAAGATCTCCATAACATTCGCCTTTGATATTTCTTTGCAGTTTAAGAACCAGCGAAACGAATTACCTGAATGAAGCGTATCAATTTTATGCAGCTATTAGAGGTAGAGCCTATTATTCGCGAGCGATCAAAGAAGATCGTCCCGATTTGATGGTGAAAAAGCTGCGCTATTATGCACGTTTTATTGTGGTTTGTTTGCTGCTGAAGAAAATGAAATTGGTGCGAGAATTGGTGACCGAATTGGAAAAACAAATACAGGAATATACCACCACGTAAGAATAACTCAGAATTTACACAATATTGTTTCAAAATATTTTAATTTTTAATGACATATTGATTCAATGCTTCCAGTTATGAACCTGAAGACCATTTAGAATGGTCATTAGTTTTGGAGGAGATCAAGGGCTTTATTAAAGCCGAAGCAGCTGTGGCCGTTCTTCATGCGGATTCCAATCCCATCGTACTATCACACAGGTACTTTTAGCCAGAGCCATTTCGGCAAATTTACCCAATATTTTGCCCGTGCTTTCTTTGGGAAGGAAAAATTGAATGTAAAAATAAACCAAGAAAATTAGTAGACAGATTGATTTATTCTTTCGATTATTGCAAAAAAAATCCTTATTTTTCAAATTTTCTTTATTTCCTTTTAATTTTTTAAAAATCCAAATCAAAAAAGTTTAACCAAAAAAATGCAAATTAACTCGTAAATTTATGATTTTTGGGAGGTATACAAGTTATGCTTACATTTTTATTTTTCTACTTTTTTTTTTTAATTTAACAATTAACCCCCCTCTTTTTTGAGCCAATATTAGTTTTGAAATAATTTCCTCTAACTCTCTTATATATTGTAGTATTGTATGCAAAACTTTTTTAAATGGCAGTATTTATTATAATATTGTGCTTATCACAGAAGACTTGAAACAACAAATGTCACCACTCACCACTCCACCCCCTCCAGCTCCATTCCATTACCGGCCAAACTAACCAATTGTCACTGTCATTACTATTAACACGTCATCCATCTCTTCAATCATTCCATCCAACCATCAACTCCATTTCCTTCCATTTCACTCACTCACTCTCTCATTCGTTCACTCTCTCGCTCAGCAAACACATCCACACTCACCAATTACCAATCAATTTTCAAACACCTTAACACACAACAAACACACTTACATACATATCAGAAAATTATTGTTTAATTGTGATGATAATTAGAAAAGGTGCGAACAAACAGCAGAACTGAAAAGGGTGAGATAAAAAAACTGCAACAAAGTCAGAAGCAATATTTTTTAATGCCCGTGAAGATAAATTGTAAAATATAAATGCAATGTGTTGGTGCGCAATGGGTTAATTGAAAAATAGTTTTTTTTAATATTAATGATTTTTACCATTTTTTTTGGATAAATCAACGTATTTTTAAATTAATTTAAATTAAATTAACTAATTAAATTAATTTAACAGGAAAATGACACAATTTCCCGACGAGGACGAATAACCAGAGTGGTGTTGGCGGTAGGGAAACTGCATGGAAAATGCTGAATTGCACAAAAACTATGCTAGCTGCGTCATTGAGGCGGGTCTTAAATGAAAGGTCTCGAGGAGTACTTTCTGGCTATATATGCCTTATATTCCCAACTGATTTCAGATAATCGAATTTTTTCGATTTTCTAACCAAAGTGGCGGTTTCGGTAGGGAAACTCCATGGAAAATGCTGAATTGCACAAAAACTATGCTAGCTGCGTCATTGAGGCGGGTCTTAAATGAAAGGTCTCGAGGAGTACTTTCTGGCTATATATGCCTTATATTCCCAACTGATTTCAGATAATCGAATTTTTTCGATTTTCTAACCAAAGTGGCGGTTTCGGTAGGGAAACTCCATGGAAAATGCTGAATTGCACAAAAACTATGCTAGCTGCGTCATTGAGGCGGGTCTTAAATGAAAGGTCTCGAGGAGTACTTTCTGGCTATATATGCCTTATATTCCCAACTGATTTCAGATAATCGAATTTTTTCGATTTTCTAACCAAAGTGGCGGTTTCGGTAGGGAAACTCCATGGAAAATGCTGAATTGCACAAAAACTATGCTAGCTGCGTCATTGAGGCGGGTCTTAAATGAAAGGTCTCGAGGAGTACTTTCTGGCTATATATGCCTTATATTCCCAACTGATTTCAGATAATCGAATTTTTTCGATTTTCTAACCAAAGTGGCGGTTTCGGTAGGGAAACTCCATGGAAAATGCTGAATTGCACAAAAACTATGCTAGCTGCGTCATTGAGGCGGGTCTTAAATGAAAGGTCTCGAGGAGTACTTTCTGGCTATATATGCCTTATATTCCCAACTGATTTCAGATAATCGAATTTTTTCGATTTTCTAACCAAAGTGGCGGTTTCGGTAGGGAAACTCCATGGAAAATGCTGAATTGCACAAAAACTATGCTAGCTGCGTCATTGAGGCGGGTCTTAAATGAAAGGTCTCGAGGAGTACTTTCTGGCTATATATGCCTTATATTCCCAACTGATTTCAGATAATCGAATTTTTTCGATTTTCTAACCAAAGTGGCGGTTTCGGTAGGGAAACTCCATGGAAAATGCTGAATTGCACAAAAACTATGCTAGCTGCGTCATTGAGGCGGGTCTTAAATGAAAGGTCTCGAGGAGTACTTTCTGGCTATATATGCCTTATATTCCCAACTGATTTCAGATAATCGAATTTTTTCGATTTTCTAACCAAAGTGGCGGTTTCGGTAGGGAAACTCCATGGAAAATGCTGAATTGCACAAAAACTATGCTAGCTGCGTCATTGAGGCGGGTCTTAAATGAAAGGTCTCGAGGAGTACTTTCTGGCTATATATGCCTTATATTCCCAACTGATTTCAGATAATCGAATTTTTTCGATTTTCTAACCAAAGTGGCGGTTTCGGTAGGGAAACTCCATGGAAAATGCTGAATTGCACAAAAACTATGCTAGCTGCGTCATTGAGGCGGGTCTTAAATGAAAGGTCTCGAGGAGTACTTTCTGGCTATATATGCCTTATATTCCCAACTGATTTCAGATAATCGAATTTTTTCGATTTTCTAACCAAAGTGGCGGTTTCGGTAGGGAAACTCCATGGAAACATACACAAAAACTAGTCCCCTGTTATGATCTAAATAATTACACTCGTATCCATGATCCAAAATGCATCAATAATCATAACAGTGGCAAAGTCCAAAACTGCCTCACTTACCTAGGCAAGCGGCTGGCAACACTAAATACATTACGAACACAATTTCGAACAAGTTTGAACGTTCAGATGGAACTTGTTTGATGATTGCCTACTATAGTAGGCAATGGACAGAAGACGTTCTGGATAAACAATATGTATGAATGTGTGTGCGAATAACGTTTCATTGTTTTTTTTTTGTTTTTTTTTTTTTTTTTTTGAAGAGAAGCACATCACTCAAATTTTAGTTTGTGAAGTTGCACATAGACCGTTGAAGGAGTTAATTTGGTGAAATTGATTGGTTAAAAAAATGAAGAAACAAATTTGGCTATTTTCAATTTTTGCAAAAATATAAATATATAAATTTTTTAATTTTATTTTAATTTTTACAGCAAATTCATCTTCGAAATATAACATACGAAAAAAGCTAAAAAATTAATCAGTCCTGGAATTTTATTTTACATGCATATTTTAGAAGAAATTCATATTGTTAACATAAAATATATGATAAAAACATATAACAAAACAAAAGCATATAATACGTATTACCAAAAATATGATCACCATTACATACAAGACTTAAATCTAAAAACAAAAGCAATGTTCATGAAAAGTGCAAAGTAGGAAACTTGTAAAAACAATGTTGTCCATTATTTATAATAAAAAAGTGGGTAAAGAAAAAATAAGGAAAATTAACTTTGTTTTCGTATTGGCTTATATTTGGTTCGATAGAGAAGATTACATATTTCTACCTGTATGGGAAGGAAAATGTTGCAGACATTATGTTCTATTCAAACTTACGAAACCCCACATTCCGATGGTAAATTGGTATCAAAGTAATCAATCGCATAGTTTGCATTTAAGCAGAGTAAGATTGCTTTTGCTGTATGTATGTTTAAAGCACCCTTCACATACGGGTCTCTTACAAGTGTTACAAAAAATATTTAAATTGCGACTAAAGCCGCAATGGAGACAGAAATCTCTACTGTCATCAGAGTATGTTGTTAGTAAGCCCTTAATTGTTTCCCTGAATCGATTAGGATTACAAAGCCCTGTCAATTTATTCTTAGTAATAATCGCTTGCACGAACTGACAAACAAAAACGCCACAGTTGAATAAGTCCTGCTGAAAATCATGTTCAAAAAGCTTTATTTCCCAATCCTTCTCATTGGTTTTTCTCTCAAAAATGTTTAACAACTTTTTGCAGTAAGATTCATTTTCTCCTAGTGGATCAATGTAGCAGAAATACTGTCTGGTGACATCCAAATATACCAATGTATAGTGGCTCCTATATATTATGGGAATAAAAACTTGATCATATTTTTTAACATCTAAGGCTATGTCATTTTGGCTGTAGAAAAGCCCTTGTCCAACTTCACATGTTGTACTGTATATCTTTGTTTGTGACTGATGCGTACAAATTAATATGGCTATTGTTGTGTCTACGATTACATTATATAACCGTTTAGTACCTTCCAAAGATTTAAACTCTTCAAAACTGATCACATCGCAAACATTTTTGTATGATAATTTATTGTAAATTGAACTAAATTTGAACATTGTATGATTTCCTTCTGCTTTTTTATTCCGTGGCAGTTTTTGGTACTTACTAAGCAGGATTTCATAAACCTGCATTTTACTTTTTTTATTTTCTTCCCTTTTTGGAGTTCTAAGCCAAATATTTTCATCTAATTTGACCTTTTTTCCCTTGGTGGGTTTGCTCACTTCCGGAAAAAAGTTTTCGATTTCATTGCATTTCGCTTCTTTGTATACATATGATTTTCTTACATAATCTGATGTTCTAACGACCTTTCCATGTAAGATTTTAGTTTTCAATGAACTAAAATAACTTTCAACGGGGCTATTCGATACTCTTGTGTTCTCCGTTTCTACAAAATGCCCCATTATATTCGTCCATAATGGGGCATATGGCATGTACTTTTTGATGAGCAACAATGCAAACTCTTCGGAGTGATATTTATTTACATCCCCATCAGAACTAATGCTTTTTTTTATTGAACAATATATTTTATTGGCCTTTATATAAAATGGACTTTTTTTATAAGCAGGGGTCAGATGTCCAAAAACATCCTCTTCCTCGTCGTTGTGTTTGTCGATTAATAATGTATCCAAATCATCATCTGATCTCGACTGTCGCAGGTTTTCAAAAGCCTGCGATACTTCGCTTCCTTTAGCTGGTGAACAAAGTATTATTAATACATTTTTCAACCATAGAAAAAGTTCATTTATATCGCTAATATTAATAGC